GCTACCGGTTCTCCAGATCTGGTCAGGACCTGCTGAATACCATCTCTGCAGCCATCCCAGTAAAATGAATGGGACTAAAAGTAAATCCACAGCGGGTCAGAGGAGGAACCGCTGCGGGACAGAGATGACAAGTGCTCTTTAAAAATTATGGTTTAAAATCAAGCCTTTTTACGAGTGATTTAAATTGACTTGATTTAAATCAAATCCACCCAGCCTTGGTGAATCCTTAGTTAATAACAGCTACGGAATGATTTATCTGGGCCATGTACTGCTAGTCCTCTACTCGCGGCCTTAATGGAGCCGTGATCTAAATATCATATATGATCTAAATATCATGTATTTGCAGCTTTCATTAAGTAAATCTCCCTGGTTGTTAAATGAAGATGGTCACGAAGTGAACACTGGCCGTTAAAGCACACCGATGGCTTGCTATGGACATTGAGCAAAACTTTGGCTGTGCGATGTAATTGCCAGAACCTGGAAGTGTGAGTGTTCGATAAAACATTTGGGAAGCATAACCATGTGGCTATAGGGAACTGGGAATTATGAGACCCTGTTGCAGAATGCGTGAAATCTGCTCATGTGACCAGGAAGGGGGTGGGAGCAATTTTCAAAAACTGGGTCATAAATAAGCCCCAAGGTAGGTGGTTGTAACTTTGAACTATTGCTGAGCAACCAGTCATAAATTAGAGGGGGCCTACTTTAATGGAATGTGTTTTTATTTGGAGTTTCTCTACAATCTTTCCAGGACTTGTGTCTGTGGTGAGAACAGGTGCCCCCTTGATCCTCGCCCAGTTGAAATTTGTCTGCCACATATAAACTACCTTTTGTTGAGAGTTCTCTTGTGTACAGTAAAACAGTGGTCCCCAACCACCGGGCCCCGGACCGGTACTGGTCCATGGATCATTTTTTACCGGGCCGCAAAGAAGTGGGCGCCGCCATCTTGTTTCGACGGCACTTGAGAAAGTGCTTCCGGGTGAGCTTGTCGGTCGGAAAGCGGCGTTTGGGTGCTGAAGGAATCCTCGCGCCTTAGTTTCATCAAGGGGGGCGGCGGCTTCGAACAAAGAGCCGTCCCAATGGCGGTGGAGTCTCACGTTAGGAGATTAAGCAAGAGCCCGAAAAGCCAATTGACAAAGGTACAAAGGAGGAGTTGAAAGTGGCGGGGAGAAGCGGGGGACAGCTAGCTGGCCGGTCGCTCAGCTCGCCTTGCCCTGGTCGTGCGTGCTGTTGCCGGTCCCAGTCCGTGGATCATTTTGTGATGCCGGTACCGGTCCGTGGGACAAAAAAGATTGGGGGCCACTGCAGTAAAAGATTAACAAAAGACACCACAGGGTTGCAAAAGGCCTCAAGAGCAGCAGCTGTGGTAGCAACAACTGTGTGTCTTCTCCCCCCCTATTTTGTGCCTGTGCAGTTGCTCAATGACCGGTAGTCCTCGGCTTATGACTGCAACTGAGCCCCCAAATCTGTTGTTAAGTGAGACAGTTAAAAGTTTTGCCCCGTTTTACAACCTTTCTTGCCGCAGGGGTTAAGAGAATCAGGTTAGATTTTGCAGCCAAAATTCAAATTCAGATGATTTGATTCAGCAGGATTCATTAACTTCTTTATATACATAATGACATATGAAGTAAAGTTTACAATACCATTAGTAGTTTCTTCCAACATGGTAAAGGTTACAAACAAAAAACACCAGCAGATGAAAGAACAGCAGAGAACAGTTTCAGTTTTGATTCAGAGTTGCAGACAAGACTGCAGCTTCAGAGCTCCGGAGCTTAATATAGAGCCACGCCTAGGCTTCTTCCAGTTTCAGTTTCCAAACAGCCCTCATTGGCTGATTTAGTTGCTATGCCTATACCATCCTCTGCCAGTTCATGAATATTTTGACAAATCACTGTAGTTGATAAGTTAATAGCCTGGTTGTTAAGTGAATCTGGCTTCCCCATTGACTCTGCTTGTCAGGTCGCAAAAGGGGATCACATGACCTCAGGACACAGTGATGGTCATAAGTTTGAGCCAGTTGCCAAAAGAGCTGTGGTGGTGGGTTAGAATGCAGTATTGCAGGATAACGCTGCCCACTGTCGGGAGCTCGATCCTGCCCGGCTCAAAGTTGACTTGGCCTTCCATCCTTCCCAGGTGGGTAAAATGAGGGGCCAGATTGTTGGGGAAAATATGCTGACTCTGTAAACAGCTTAGAATGGGCTGTAAAGCAACTATGAAGAGTATATACGTCTAAGTGCTATTGCTATTAATCAGTAATAAATACAACATTGATTCCCCCCACCTTTCAACAGTCACTTTCTTAGTGAAACCTTTCCTTCTTTCTTTCCTTCCTCCCCTTCCCTCCCTCCTTTCCATAATCACCCATCTTATGCCCAAATAACCCTGGATGGCTTACAGCAAGAATGATAAAACATAAAATAATAATGCTAACATAACTCCCCTGTACATTTGCTGGGATCCAATCTCACTTTAGCCCGGCACTTTGATATTCAGCCAATGTGGCTGGGTTTTGGTTCAGCATGATTTGATACTGAAGCAATTCGATTAGCATGTTATAGGAATACTAAACTTTTATTTTTATTTATTTTTGTCAATTGCTTATAAGATAATAGGTATAAGTAAAAACATAGTTATGAATACATGGATACGTATAAGAAAAATAAAAAGAAACAATAGGACAGGGACGGTAGGCACCTTGGTGCGCTTATACACGCCCACTACAGACCTCTTAGGAAAGGGGTGAGGTCAATAGTAGAAAGTCTAAGGTTAAAGTTTTTGGGGTTTGGGGAAGAAACCACAGAGTCTGGTAGAGTATTCCAGACATTGATCACTCTGTTGCTGAAGTCGTATTTCCTGCAATCAAGTTTGGTGCGATTAACCTTGAGTTTGTATCTATTGTGTGCTCTTATATTGTTAAGGTTGAAGCTGAAGTATTCATTGACAGGTAGGACATTGCAATGTATGATTTTATATACAATACTTAGATCGGACCGAAGGCGGCGTAATTCAAGGTTTTCTAGATCTAGAATTTCAAGTCTGGTGGCGTAAGGTATTCTGCAACGAGTAAAGGAGTGGAGAACTCTTGTGAAATATTTCTGGACTTTCTCAACTGTGTTAATATCAGATACGTAATGTGGGTTCCACTGATGAGCTGTATTCAAATATTGTTCTAGCAAATGTTTTGTATGCTCTAGTTAGTAGTATAATATTACCAGAGAAAAAGCTACATAAGATTAGGTTAACAACTCTTAACGCCTTTTTGGCTATGTAGTTACAGTGGGCTCTAGCACTTAGATCATTAGAGATGAGTACTCCAAGATCCTTGACAGAGTTTGGATCATCAACAAGGTCTTGACTATTCAGCCTGTATTTTATTTTCTGATTATTATTTATTTTCTGATAAACTATATTGAGGCTTAGCATAATGTGGGAACTAAGCCACACACACCCAGGTCAAACACAACCCTGATGCAGCCCTCAATAAAATCGAGTTTTGACACCCTTGCCCTTAATCTAACCAGTTCATTTTTCAGGATTTTTCCCTTTAAGAGACTGTAGGTGAGCTCCAGACAGGCCTTGGGAAAGGTAATGTAACTTGAGTCTCATCCCTACTAATATTTTAAAGACTTGGGAGTTTAATCTGGTAGCCTGATACTCGGCCTGGTAGCACTTTACCAAACATACCTGCCTCCCTTTGGAGATGCTTGTTGTAAACCTCAAAGGTCTTCCTGCATGTGAGAGCCATTCATGCAGCCTCTGTGAGGGATAGGATCTTTCAGAGCTAATTTTTTTTTTTCAAACTTGGCAATTCTAAACTGAAGATTTCAAACTTTCTGAATTCCCCAGTTGGCTGGAGAATTCTGGGAGTTGAAGTCCACCCAGCTTAAAGTCGCCAAGTTTGAAAAACACTCCTCCCTCTCTCAGAAACTAATCTTGTTTTTGTTGTTGTTGTTTTGCAATCCTTAAAAGACCTATTTGCTAATTCTCTGCATTTTTATTAATCTACGCAACCGATAGCCATCATTAATAGTTAACACGTGTCTTTATTCTGGATTTCAACCTCTAGATTTGAAAAGTTGGCAACCCCCTGGAGGGAGGGGTTGAGTCGAGCCTAAAAATGCAATTCCAACTATTTTAACAACGCACTTTCGTTTTTGACCCTGGGGGAAAAAAATAACTCCCTTTCCTTGCGGATCCCATACCCATTCCCCCCGCCTTCCTCCCTTTGGTTGGAAGGGAGGGAGGTAATTTAAGCAAGCTCTTTTTCTGCTACTCTCGAAAAGTTTGGGCGGCTCTGATGTTTATTTTATTTTATTTTTTTCCAGGGAGCCTCGAAAGGAGAGGCCAGCAAGGAAGCAAGAACAGCAGAGGGATCGGAAAAGATCGACGCTCGTTCCCAAAGTACAGCGCGCATCTCCCATCCAGGGCGCAAGCCTCACAAAACCCACACATCACACACACAAACCCACAAAACGATCCTCCGCAGCCCTCAGGCCTCTCTCGGCTCATTCCCGCTGGCTTGGTTCCTTCCCTCCGCCTCCACCCGGGGCGTCTCCGCCTCTCCACCCTCCCAACTTGCAAGCAGCTGCCGGTTGGCAACTGCAGCAAAGGAGGGGGGAAAGAGTCCACAAGCCGCTTGGAGAGCCCCCAAGTTGGGGGAAAAGCTCTTTTTGCTTCCTTCTTCGACCTTGCCGGCGTCCTACTCTGGATCGAAAACGTGCGATTTCCCCCCCAAAGCCTGCGCGCTTCGAGCGATCGCGCTCAGCCCGCCCTGCCAGAGATCCCCGATCGCTTCGGTTCCTGGGCCGGCTAGATCCAGAGGCTCCCTCCTCCTCCTCGCAAAAGCCTCCACCTTTTCGGGTGCCGCCTCTCCCAATCCGGTCGGGCCAGAAAAGCCAAACAAGGAGGGAGCTCGTCTTTCTCTCCTCCTCGCGCCCTCCCTCTTCTGCGTCGAGGGCTGGGCCGCTTCTCCCTCTTTCTTCCCTTTCTCTTTCTCTCTCTCGCGTTCTCTCTTTCTTTCTCTCTCTCCCGCCCTTTCCTCCGGGTTTGGCGGCTCCAAAGATTCCGCCACCCCACCCCCCCTTCCCGGCCTGCCTGCCTCCCGGTTTTCCTCTTCGCTTTTGCTGGCGGTTGCTGCTGGAAGCGCCAAGAAAGGAGGGCGAGATTGCAAATGCAAACCTCCCCCCGCTCCCACCGCCGCTCCAGTTCAGAAAGCGAGGACGGAGGGGCGCCTCGACCCCTTGAGAAGCAGAGCAAGCCCAACGCGCAATCCGAAGGAGAAAAGTTGCTCCGGAGACCTTTACGCGCAAGTGTGCGCTGCGCTCCCGCACGGGTATATATAGATAGATATATATGTGTGTGTGTGTGTCGATCAGGTGGGTCGCAATACGGCGCGGGATCTTCCAGTTTGGGGGGGGTGTTGTGGACTTTGAGGGGGGGGCGTAATAGGGGGGAGGTAAGCTGCGTGGATCTCGATCCTTTGATTCGACTCGATGCGCGGATTAGGAAAGGGAGGCTGTTCTTCCAGATTTGAATTACGGGGGGGGGGGGGGGGGAGAGCAGTGGATTGGAAAGGGGAGGCCAGAAACGACCCCTCCGCCAAAGCTTGCTCGGAATGGGCAATCCAGGCCCGAAAAGGCAGTTCCAGCAAGCGCAGGATGCTATAAATAGATAATATCAGTCCGCCAACCCCCCCCCCTTTTTTTTTCTTTTTTTCTTTCATTCATTGCTGAGCTGAATGCCTGCCTCAAAACATTTTCTCCACTTGGAGTTTGGGATGCAAATTCCAGGTAGAAGTGGTGGTTGTTGTTTTAATCTAGTGCTTTGCAGAAACCAGCATAGATGGTTGGCTAGCTGGGCATAGCCAACACAGACATAGACAGACAATGGTTGCAGATTAGATTTTTTTTATTCCCCTCCTTTTGAAAGGCCCACAATAGGAATCTGGAGTGTTTGGGCACAGATCTCATTATGCACCTTTGGGTAATGTTAAAATGGTAAAGGTAAGCGTTGTACCTCAGGTTTATTTATTTTAATTTATATAACTGCCTCACTCTCCTAAGCAGCGCTCCAATTTGGCCTCTTCAAAATTCCTTTTTATGTGAGGTGGCTCTAGCAAACCTCTTCTTTGTTGCAAAGTGGAAAAGCTTAAATTAACAGCTGAAATTGGCCAAAAGAGCTGGCGTGGAAGAGGGCAAAGTTCAAAGAGCCATCACTCTTGATAGCTTGGCTCTCAAAACATGCTAGTGCTATCTGATAATTTTAAGCTACGTTTTGAGGTGGCTGTTTTGCAGAGGTATAGATACAAAAAAAATGGAAAAGGGTGAGCCAAAAACTAAGTGAACCGGTTCCAGGTGAACAGGGAGTTCTTTCAATAGGTGAAATGTCCTTTTGGATAAATGTCTGAGCCATTTATTACTACAACGCTGGCAACTTTAAGATGTGGACTTCAACCCCCAGAATTCCCTAGCCACTGTGCACTTCCATCCCCAGAATTCTGCAGTCAGCATGCTGGCTTGGGAATTCTGGGAGTTGAAGTCTACACCTCGTAAACATGCCAAGGCTGAGAAACACTGGTTTAAGTGAATATTTGCAGTGAAGCCCCAAGGAGGCTTCCTCCTAATTTTAAGGAGAAAAGAATTTATGTGTGTTTATAGCAGTGTTTCTCAACCATGGCAACTTTTAAGATAGCTATTGTTAGAATAGAATAGAGCTGGAAGGGACCTTGGAGGTCTTCTAGTCCAGCCCCCTGCTCAACCAGGAGAAAACCTGTACCAGTGGTCGCCAACCAGTGGGCTGGGGACCACTGGTGGTCCATGAGAAAATTTTGGTGGTCCGCAGAGAAATGTCACCCCCAAAGCACTCCCCAAAGCAATTAATCCAGGCTGTGCAGGAACACAAGGCTACACCACCCATATGGCCCGCAGGAACACAAGGCCTGCGTCGCTTGCATTGTGAGGAAAGATAGTGAGGAGAGGGGGGAAAGGGCAGAGGGGAGGAACTTGCCCCACTCACCCCACATGTCTGGCCTGGCCACTGGGCTGCTTCTTTCCGCTTCTTTTTTCTGCTTTTGACTGCATACAAGGAAAGCATCAAAAGTCTTTCTTTCTCTCCCCCAAACTCCATCAGAAATGAGTCTTTGGGACCCTACAAGGCATCCTGCTCCAAGAGGCTGCACTGGCAAAGACTCATTTCTGGCAGAGTTTAGGGGAGAGAAAGAAAGGCTGCTGCTGCTTTCCTTGCATGAAGCCAAAAGTCTCTTTCTCTCTCTCTCTCCCTGAGAACGGAGCTGGAGACGGTGTCCTGCGATCCCAAATAAAGAATGATCGATTGGTAGGAAAACAGGGTGGGGAATTTTCCTGCAGACTTTTTTGGGGATTTTCCCAGGGTCTCTGGTCCATGGGATTTAAAATTATAAATTTGGTGGTCTCTGAGGTCAAAAAGGTTGGCGACCCCTGACCTATACAATCTCAGATAAATGACGGTCCAGTCTCTTCTTAAAAACCTCCAATGATGGGGCACCCACGATTTCTGAAGGCAAGCTGTTCCACTGGTTAATTGTTCTCACTGTTTGAAAGTTTTTCCTTAATTCCAGATTGCTTCTCTCCTTGATTAGTTTTCATCCATTGTTTCTTTTCCTGCCCTCTGGTGCTTTGGAGAATAATTTGATCCCCCCTTTTCTTTGTGGCAGCCCCTCAAGTACTGGAATATTGCTATCATGTCACCCCCTAATTCTTCTTTTCTTTAGACTAGCTAGACCCAAAATCTGCAGCCATTCTTCATATGGTTTAGTCTCCAGGCCTTTGATTGTCTTAGTTGGTCTTCTCTGAACTTTTTTCCAAACTTAAAAGATCCCAAGATTCTGGGATGAGGAAATCCACAGAAACTTAAAGAAGCCCTGGCTTAGAGATACTGCTTTCATGATTATCTTTTCATGCATTCTCCTCTACCACCAACCACCAAATTAGAGGTAGCTAAGATATATAACTGTTTCCCTTAGGGCAAAAGTCTATTTATCTCAGTGGGAGTTACTTCTGAATAATGATGAGCGCTCAAAATTTCACAAGCAGATCTTATATAGTTGCTACACTTTGGGAATGGCAGTTCTTGCATTTTGTTCTTGCATTTTGAGGATTGAAGAGATGGTTTGAGCAATCCTGTGATGCCACAGCAAGACAGATATGCCTAAGATTAAAAAAAAAACACAGGTTTCAACTTGATGATTTCTTATGCTGTGAGAATATTCCTTTGTGCTGCCAATCTGTGGCTCTCTAGGTTCATTTCATATTTTGAGTTCACGCTATTAAAAAAGAGTTGTTCTGTCCCAAATTCAGCCTTTTATTTATAGGGAAGAAAGATTTTGCAGACATAAAACAACAATTTTGGAACATCTTAGAAGTGGTGCTAAATTCCCACATGTGGCTAAATTAGGATTATTAAACTATAATTTCTTGAGCAACCCATAGCAGCCAAATCTGCTTCTAATGCTAAATCAGAATAGATGGATTTACAGCTGGTGTTAAATCAAAATCAAGACATCACATTGGGATTCATTGGGAATGAAGGAGAGCAAATATGCAAAAACAGCAAATCAAGATGGAGGTTAAGTTGTGAATATATTAAGAGGAAGACAGATTCTTAATTCCAGATTTAGCTTAATCTCTGCTTTTTCCATAAAGTGAAAATGTAATTTGGTTCATTTTTGGGAGGGTGGGGGGGAGAAGAATAAATGTGGGAATATTTGAACCCCTTCCCCCACTCCCAATGTTTCCATTACTCAGAGATTAGGCTAAATAATTATAGAATTACAAGCTGTCCCTTTTTCTCAGTGCATTCAGAAATTCAACTCATAACTTGCATTCTCTAACACATCTCAAGGAACACTAGATAAAATGGAAAACTGACTGAGTAAATTAGATAGAAAAGAGTTGATATGGGATGAGTGAAAATGTATAGGTTGATTTTCAAGATACAAAATAATATAAAATATATTTGCCCTCACATCAAACTTTTTGGAGTAAGTCATTATTATTCCTGCTGTTCCAGACACAAAGTAAAATAATAGGTCACAATAATTGAAGTAAATGTTCGCATTTTCACTATCTTCAGAGAACCAGTTGTGCCCACTTATCCTATCACTTTTAAAATGACAAAAAGCCATTTAAGGCTTTCTCTTATATGTTTCTTATATGGTTCTCAACCTTGGCAGACTTAAAGATGGGTGGATTTCAACTCCCAGAATTCCGTAGCTAGTATGGGCTGGTAGTGGAATTCTGGGAGTTGAAGTCCACCCAATTTTCAAGTTGTGTCAAGATTGAGAAATAGTGATTTAGTCCTTGCCACATCCCAACTCTTCATCCCTTGCTTGTTCTCTTTTAGGCAATTAGTTCATCAATTTAAAACCGCCGCCTCCATTTTAGAAGGAGGAAAAGTCCCACTTTTGACTGGAATTAGCATGGAGTGATATTTTGGAGTGCCTAAATGCCTTTTCCTATTGAAGCAACAACATGTTTTTTTTGTTTGTTTTTTTGGTGGTAAAAACACAGAGGAGAAATTCCCACCTCCTCTTTTATCCAGTTTGTCCATAATGCTAGAAGTAGTTGTATGATGTGGCAATCAGTTCTACTTGCTCTTAAGTAAAATGCCATCCATCATCTCTATTTTCCTGAACAGAGAAAATTATATTCCCGATAGCCAACGTCCGGAACAACCGTAAACCTGGATGACCTTAATTTATGGAGAAGCTCAATTGTGGTTTACTTGAAGAATGAGTCAGCAACTTCAGGATTTGAAACACTACTAATCAAGCTGAAAGCAAGACGCAGAGAAACCCACCAAGTTAATCAGCATTCTTTTGCAGTGGGAATCCTTTCCTGGAATTTTTTTTTAGCCCAATTGACTTTTAATCTTCATTTTCCACATTGCTGGTAAAATAGACATCCTGGGCTGGAGGCCTTCTTTGGAGGTAACCAGGATTTTATTCCCTGTGCAATGTTCTTAAACAGAGCCAAGTCGTGGCTCCCTAGACTGTCCTGGTGGAGAGGAAAGCAGGAAGAGCATCTGAAGGAAAAACCAGAGGTTTCAGTGAAATGCACGGGGCCTCCCAAGGCAAGATGGTGGAGTGGCCGCCGGCTTTTGGAAATTATTGGATGGGGCCAAGGCTCAGCGACTGGAGGGCACTCGCTGTTTGCTGGGATACCTCAACATGTTGCTCCTCACAAGCCATCGGTGGAGTCTCCAGAACATTTCCAGGTTTGCTTCAACTTCACCCGACACCTCTTTGATCTGTGTGTGGTGACTCTGCTCTGTGCATCCTCCCCGGCTTTCCGGTTGGTTATGGATATCCTGGGATTTGGAGGACCTCTGAAGGTTTGGCTCCACGGCTTGGCCTGTTTCTTGGTCAGCGCCTATGGGATGTACTTGGTTCTTTGGTTGGTCCAAGAGTATCTGTTGCAATTTGCCTGTCTCTATGGGTTTTTACAGACCTTGGTTTTGTGGGTCAGCATCCGTGCTGGATCGTCAGAGTCTCCAGAGGACAAACAAGCTGACGGACTCGATACAGATAGAGAAGGGGAGCAGTCTGCGGCCAATGGATGTAAGCAAGAATCGCCACTATGAGGAGGAAGATTGTGTGGACAATCTTGGGATTGAAGCCCAAGAGATTGACTGAAGTGGGCCCTGGAGGGTCAACAGGAGAAACTTTTATCTTGTATTTAGGATGGCTGGACAGAAATTGGGAGAAGATAAAGGTAATGAGGAGAAACAGTATTCCTTAAAACGAGTAATGACTCAAAAATAAGCACTACATCCGTAGAACTTTCCCATAGAAATTGTTTTAAATTCCAGTTCTCGGTGGCAGCAAGGAAAGAAACTTAACGGATGGGATGTGTAATCCATCCAGGATTATCATCACCTAGTGGGGCTTAGCAAAAATCACAGAAGAGGTGTGAGATTCATCTAACTTAAAGTCATAAACTAATCTGAGCCTGGTTTGGGAGTTATGGCTAGGTCTAGAGGATTCTGGGAACTATAGTTTTTGAGGGGAAGGGGAGACAAATTATGAAATCCCTTTTTGGGCTTCTTGATGGGAGTAATCTTTACCTCTGGTTTGAGCCTGTAGTGCCCAGGTAAAATATATTTTCAGAAGAAAGCAAATAACATCCAAAATATAGCCAATTCTTGCATATTTATAAGGGCCTACGATTTTTCCCTGCTTTGGCATCTTATTGCTTTCCGGGTGACAGTGACCTGGTGAAGACCATCAAGAACAGGCAGCTGAAAATAAAGAGTGCATGTTCCTAAAGTTATGGTCTAGCCCAGGGAGGTCTTCAAACATGGTAACGTTAAGACTTGTGGACTTCAACTCCCAGAATTCCATGGTTGGCTGAGGAATTCTGGGAGTTGGTTCACAAGTCTTAATGTTGCCCAGTTTGGAGACATCCCTGGGCTAGCCAATAAGCACAAAAAGTTGTCTTTTAAAATAGCTTGGATGGACTAAAAATAATGGCTCATTTGAAAGCCTAGAGAAGAGTCAGTAGTTGGATTTTCTGGGGATAAAAATCCAATGTATCCAAGAATCTACCTTCTTCTGCCAGAAATGGGGAGTAGAGATCTACCTTCCAGAGGATTGAGAAGTAGACATCTGAAAGGCAGGTGGCTTTAGTGCAATCGGCAAGAAGGGTAGAAGTTCCACAGGGGTCCTAATCTGTGGGTGACAGGGAATCCAGGAAGATTAAATATCTAGGGGGACCCCTTTGCGGAAAACCAGCAGAAATAGAAACCCTGAATTCATCCCTGAGCTGGACCTATTGCTGCTTTTTATGTGGGCCAAGTTGGCCATCCTCAGCTAATTCTAATAGAATTGTTGACGGGTGGGGACAGACGTTTGAAATAACACTTCGATTCTTCCACCCCATTCCTCAGGGAGAAGCAGTTCTGAGCCTACAGTTTCAATATCCCCAATTTGCCCGGGGCTCCCCTTTCACCAGCAACCAGATTTTTTTTACCCAGTTTTGAGAAACTGTGGCTCTTCTCCTCATTTTCTTGACTCCTTTCTCATTCTTTGGCAATATTTAGATCACCGAACCAGGGTCCACACACCCCCTTATGGAAAAGAGCTGTTCTGAGCCAAAGACTCTGGTTGCTTGGTTTTATATTTTCCATGCGGACATGCAGAATCGGTGATTCACGTGTATTTCCCTTTCCGCAGTCTCACTGAGCATACAGAACGGTGAATGGCAGCTGTCTCCAGGATAACACAGGTCCATCACTGATATGTTTTTGTAATGTGATTTGTTTTTAATTTCTTGAATTGCCTAAGCAAGTCACTCCCGCATAGGTCATCAACTATCATCAACTATCATGCACAGGTTGTCCTTAGAAGCAGGAAGAATAGAAAGTAGATGTTGGACAGCACAGGAGGTAGAAGCCAACAGAGAAGTTAGGGGGCTGGTAGGAAAATCTAAATATAGGGTTGTTGCTGGGTTGTTGTTTTTTTTGAGGAAGAATGGTGAGGAAGCTGATTCTGGTAAGACGTGTAGATTCCTAATTGCAGAAGTTAAGGTTGGCATGTTTCACTTTCTTTGAAATGTTCTGCCACAGAAAACCCTCCTAGATATTTATGACTGTAATCTCCATGGGATCTGAAGTCCAAAAGGAATCCAGATGGAGGGCATTAGGTCCACTGCTCTTGATCCAGATTCTAGCACAAAGTCCATGCCGTCGTCTAAAACTGGAGTCTTCCAAACTTGGCAACTGTAACGACTTGTGAACTTCAACTCCCAGAATTCTCCAGCCAACATGACTGGCTGAGGACTTCCGGGAATTGGAAGTCCACAAGTCTTAAAAGTTCCCAAGTTTGGCAACTCTTGACCTAGAACAAGGATATGCAATCTGTGGGCTGCCAGGTGATGATAAACTACAATTCTCAGCTTTTTCCAGCATGGCTTAAATTACCTGGCAAGGGTGGGGGTTATCCAGTTTCAACATTTCTCTCCTATCAGCAAACCATCCCATGAGAAGTTTCAGCTTTTGGCCTACTGCAAATCCCTTTTATGATACATGATGTGTCACTTCCACAGGCGCAGATGCTATGAAGTTGTGACTCATTGATCTTATCCTTTAAGCAATGCTCATACATTCGTTTTCCTAGAGGCATCTACCCTCACTTCCTTCTGCCAATGGAATCCAGCCTTTCTCAGTGTAGCCCTTCTATTATCCTATTCAACATTCCTGGAGGTCATCAGCTGGGGAAACCTGGGGGATATTATGATATTTCAAATGCAGTGATGCCCCATACAGTGTGCGTGGCGGCTGACAGAATGCCATTTCCAAACTAAATTTGGCACGCAGGAGCTGGGAGAGGGAAGAAGGCCTCATGACACGTCAGCGAACCTTGGGAAAAGCGATGTTAGCAAACCCTCTTTCCAGGCTGTGGGGCTTTGGCAGCTGACTGCTCCCATGGGTTGCCAGAACAGTGGTATCCGTAGCGCCGCTGGTGCCTTGCCTTTAGATGACTCATTTTTTATTTTTATTTTTTTAAAATCCCTTTTGCAATACTGTGCAATACAAAAGAGCCTTTCTACTTCTCCCTCTTTTCTTTTTCTCCACAATGCACATCTGGAGTGCAGGGCAGCCACTCAACCAGCACATCGTCGCTCCTTTCCCAAATAGCAAAACTCTGACTGAAGTTTGGGTGGAGCTTGTAGCTTCAATGAAGACTAGAGGGGCTTTTACAACTCTAGGGCAAAATCACCAGCATCTTCCTTCCTCTTCTCCTGAGTGCAGAGATTTGTTCTCCCAGCCCCAGCCAAGCCCCCTCCCAAATTAGAGAACTACAAATTCCATCAACTCCCATTCATGTGCTGATGGCTGGAATGAGGTAGTCTAGTCCAGGGGCCTCCAAACTTGGTAACTTTACGACTTGTGAACCTCAACTTCCAGAATTCCTCTATGCTATGTTGACTGAGGGATTTTGGGAGTTAAAGTCCACAGGTTTTAAAGTTGCCATCTTTGGAGACCCCTGGTCTAGTCCAAAGACTAGAAGGAAGGAAGAGAATTAATCAAGATGTATCTTAAGAGCTCAGTGGCTTTTAGTAATCTTTTTTTTTTTTTTAGTAACCTCTTTCCCTTTGGCTGGGAAAAAAAAACCCCAGCCCCCACCCCAAAAAAAAAATTTAAAAGAAGAAAGCAGCCCAAGACCGTCTCTTCTTGAGAGGCATTTGAAATTTGAGATTTGTACTTTTCTTCCCCTCAAGCAGCAGAATTAATTCCTCCCCAAAAAAACCCTTAAAAAGAAACTGGAACTTGTTTTTTCCTGCCTTTCTGATTCTCTCTTACATGTGTCCTAACTTCACACCCATAGAAGGAAATTACAAGATTATTTTCTATCTTGATTATTCTCTCTGTACATAGAATTTTTTTTAAAAAAAATCCCTTTCTTTATAGGCTTTAGAAGTATTGACATGGGAAAACTATGACATCCTCATTCTTTGCCAAACTCCCAAGTACATTTTTTTTTAATTTATATAAGTAACACCTCCAAAACTGCATGTGTTGAAGGTGTTATGAATTTACTGTGACATGCCAGGCATTTAGCCAATAGGTACTGTGACGTTCACACCAAAACATGCCATTTTACCAGATCTCTTGTACAGTATTGTTACGTTCCCCATTGGTGGGCTAGTAGGATTATACACATATACAGTCCTGGATCATTTATTAGGAAAACTGTGAAAAAGCATTTGCCAATTGTGGATGTTCAAAAGGAGGAAATAACACGTGATAAAAAATGGTTTTTCCCTTTCCTTCAATTGTGCCACCTCTTTACACACTGAGAGCTGAACCACAATATACCTCTTCCTGGTTCCTAATGTTATTTTGCACCAGTCTAGGCATTCTCTATAGCCTTTTTGAGGGAGAACATTACTGTCTATGGGGTAGGGGACAAATGGCTTTTTTGGAAGAAATGTTTGACAAATAGGGGAAAAAATTGCATGGGATAAGGATATATGGTTGAGAGAGGTACGTGAACTAACCTGCATATGTTCCAAGCTCTGTTTGTCATTAAATGCTACTGTTCTGGTTATTTTTCCAGTATGTTCAAATATATATGTATATTTCAATAAAAGGAAAATTTCAATGAGCACAGTAGCTTATATCTAATTAGAGCCAGACGAATTGATTATATCTACCGTATTTACAGCCAGATGAACTTCGTGCAGCTAGTCCTCATGATCGTTTGGAAAAAGGCTTTGGCACACGGCCAGCTTAAACCGTTATTCCAACATGTCTGAATAGGAGTTCCAGCAGCCAGGATCTTTGATATACCATGGACGGTTGCAGGAACTGGGGTTGGCTAGTCTAGTGAAGAGAAGGACCAGGTGAGACATGATAGCAGTCTTCCAATATCTGAGGGGCTGCCACAGAGAGGAAGGGCTCAAGCTATTTTCTAAAGCACCTGAAGGCCAGACAAGGAATAATGGATGGAAACTGAATAAGGAGAGATTTAACCTGGAAATAAGGAGAAACTTTCTGACAGTGAGAACAATCAACCAATGGAACAGCTTTGCCTTCGGAAGTTGTGGGAGCTTCATCACTGGAAGCTTTCAAGAAGGGACCGGACAGCCATTTGTCAGAAATGGTGTATGGTCTCCTGCTTGGGCAGGGGTTGGACTAGATGACCTACAAGGTCCCTTCCAATTCTGTTAATCTGTTTATCCTTTTCTGTGACATTTAAAGAAATACTTAAAATGTTTAAATGCTTCTTTTGAGATGATTGAAGAATTGGAGAAATGCAGTGGAGAGGGCTAAGCTGTTATCTGTACATTCCTCTGAGATGGGTGGATTAATCACCTCATGCTGGAATTTGCAAATACCGCCTTTCTTCAAATGTCGTCTCCTTGACCCCTGCCTCAAATCAGTTTTCCTGGGTCCAAATGTGTTTCAGACCTCGACATTATACAAGTAGTCCTTGACTTACGACCACAATTGAGTCCAAAAATTCTGTTGCTAAGTGAGACATTTGTTCAGTGAGTTTTGCCCCATTTTACGTCCTTTCCTGCCACAGTTGTTAAGTGAATCACTGCATTGGTTAAGTGAGTAACAAGGTTGTTAAGGGAATCTGGCTTCCCCATTGACTTTGCTTGTCAGAAGGTCGCAAAAGCGGATCATCTCACCCCAGGGCACTGCAATGGTCACAAATATGAGTCAGTTGCCAAGCATCTAAATTTTGATCACGTGACCATTGAGGATTCTGTAACAGTTGTAAGTGCGAAAAACAGTCCTAAGTCGCTTTATTCAGTCCCATTGTAACTTTGAACGATCAGTAAGTCAAGGACTACCCTGTTTCTCCAACAATATGGCCTCCCCCAATAGGAAGTCCCAGCATGTTATAGGCATGAAATGAAATTAAGCCCCCCCCCCCAAAAAAATTAAGGCCTATATTAAAACATGCGAAATGGGGGGAATGGTGGGGGGGCTTGCCGTTAGGAAGTACTTTTGTTGCACACCAGGATATGGTGCTGCCTGCGTTGACCCCGATACAAAGTGCCCCACCAACGCCGAGGTGAACATCCAAGCCGTCGCCGCCCGCCCGTCCAAAGATGCAAGGGGGGGGGGGAATTAAGTCACCCCCCCGAAAAGACGGCCTAGCCATTTTTTCGGGGCTCAAAAAAAAAAAAAAAAAAAAGACCCGCCCTTATTATATGAGAAACACGGTACGTGTCGTTTCACGGGCATGCTTTGTTTTTTAAATAAGGAAGAGCAAGTGTTTTCTCGTTAGAAAATACATTTTATTTAAAACTACAAGCAATTGCTTCTCCAAATAGATGAGGCAAGTTATCTTCAAGGGGTGATTCATTCCTGCTGAGCTGGATTTGAAGCTGATGGGAGAAAAAGAACAATAATAAAGAAAAATAAAAAGACGTCAGGATGGTGATGTGGAGAACTGAAAAGAGTTTTTAAGTGATAGAGACATCGCGGTGTGTCTGTGTGTGTGTGTGAGAGAGAGAGAGAGAGAGAGAAGGAGGGAGTGAGAGAGAGAGAGAGAGACTGTGTGTCAGTTTGGCCTAGTGGTTAAGGCACCAGGCTACATATTCATTATACTTTATACTTTTTATCTGTCACATTTGCAATTTAATCGCATATTCTTATTTCATTATTCCAAAAGTTCCATCTTAATTCTAATAATTCAAAAGATTTCCCCTTTAATGACTAATTTGAATGTACCACCCCTTTATCTTATACATCATTTAGTTAATAAATTATGAAGATATGACAACTATTTAAAATAAAAAGAAATAAGTTAAGAAAGGAATAGAAAATAAATAAAACAAATTTGAGGAATATAAGAATTTTTGAGAAAATTTACAGAAAATATGAAATGTAATGATACAATATGAAATCAAATGTGAAAGGTGAATATGTAACCAAGGTCATGTTTGTATGGAAATGTGAAAACCTGGAACCATGCTGTTCACTACAAGAGATGTTTTTGAAATATAAAAAATAAAAAACTGTTTACGCAAAAAAAAAAAGGCACCAGGCTACAAAGCGGAAAATCGTGAGTTCTAGTCCCGCCTTAGCCATGAAAGCCAGCTGGGTGACCTTGGGCAAGTCACCCAGTCCATCTCACCTCACAGGGTTGTTATTGTGGGGAAAATAACAACCCCGTAGAGGAAGGGTTGGGAGAATGTAGGAAATTTTCACCACCTTGGGTTATTTGTAAAAATAATAAAGGAGCGATATAAATGAGTAAAATAAAATAAATAGTCAAAATGGCAACTGGCACTGCATGATCAGGAGCAGGGTTTCAAGCCTTGATTTGTTTGTTTATTTTTAATCCTGCCTTTATTTTTTTTATAAATAATTCAAGGTGGCAAACCTATCTTACGCTCCTTCCTCCTTGTATTTTCCTCATAGCAAAAAAACCTTGTGAGGTGGGTTGCCCCCATATCTCTAGAATTGTCAAGCTTGGAGACACTGGGTTTGCTCAGATGTTTATTTTTCCTCTGTCTTCCTTTTATATTCACTACCCTTGTTTCTATCAGCACCTTGGCAGAGCGTTCGATGCCCTTGGATTACAAAATTGACTGTAGATACAATCAAATCTCATTATACAATCAGAAGTTTGGTGGGTTATACAGATCGAATATGAAGAAGCCACAATTAACAAGAATGCCAGCACAGGCGTGAAGAGGCACAAAGCTGGCTAGTTTAAGGGGAGGGAGACCTGAAAGTAAACATTCACATGTGCAGAAGATAGGGTACAAGAATAAAAGAATAGGCCTTTTGTCTCTGGTTAATGTGTATACAGATAGTCATCCACTTATGACCATGACTCCAGAATTACGATCAGAAGTCGTGTTGCTTGTTAAACCGTGTGAGTGAATCCAACTTTACAACATTTTGTGTGACGGTTGTTAATGCCATGGTCATGAAGTAAAATCATTATAGCCCATGGGTGGATTTATTTACGGTAGTTTTTGCCGGAAATCAGAAGTAAATGCCAGAAAGCTGCAAAAAAATGTCAAAAAATCAGGTGGCTACATAAATTTGAATAATAAAATAAAAAAATGGTTCTTCCTTCTTTTATTCCTTGTGCCACATTTCAGTCCCTTTCCCAGGGACCTGTTTCTCCTAGTTTTATGTCTACAGTGTGGAAGAAAATGCTTACTTCATCATGTAAGTGTGCAAACCATGACTGAGGTAAGTAAATCTACCGTATTAGAAACCATGGCTTGTTTCACCACGCTGGGGCTATGCCATTCAAACTAGGTCAACGTGCGTAAAGCATTTTAGAACCCCAAGTTCAGAATTGTGTACATTCTGCAAATAGAACCAAATATAGAAATATAGTCAACTCATATTCAGTATCTAGAAACATCTTTAGAAATACATTCACTTATACAGGTAGTCCTCGGCTTATAGCAGTTCATTTAGTGACTGCTCGAAGTTACAATGGCAATGAAAAAAAGTGACTAATGACCGTTTTTCACTCCTATGACCATTGCAACATCATGGTCATGTGGTCAAAAATTTGGATGCTTGGTAATTAGTTGGTATTTATGACAGTTGCAGTGTCCCGGGATCATGTGCAGGGGCGGGCTGCTGGAGGTTCACAGGTTCGGGAGAGCCCCTAGCTAAGATTCTGTGCAGTTCAGAGAACCCCCAAATCCTCTCCCCTCCCAGATGTCCCCACGTGGCTCATTTTGGATGCAGGTAAGAGCAGGGCGTACACAGAGGCTCAGGGAGGGCGATGAATGGGCCTCCCAGAAGTTCGGGAAGGCTAGAAATGGGCCCATTTCCGGCCTCTGGAGCCCAGGAAGGCTGTTTTCATCCTCCCGGAGAATCGAAGAAAGCCGCTGGAGCTTGGGGAGGACAAAAAAGCCTCACCCCCCAGCCGTGATGCAGGAGGCTGACTAGGCCACGCCCACCATTGCCACGTCCACCCAGCAACCAGGCAGAGACCCCTTTGCTAAAATTCTTGAAGCTCAACCCTGGTCATCTGATTTTCAAGCCCGAAATTGACATAAGTGTAGCCATTTTAGTTAGGATTAGTATCAGGGGTGGGATTCTACCAGTTTGCACCTATTCGCCAGAACCGGTTGTTAACTTTCTAAGCAGTTCGGAGAACCGGTTGTTTGAAGAAATTACTGGCCTAATCCTGTAAGAAAGGCAGGAAGGAAACATTCTGGTGTTGCTTACAGAAACTGCCTCTCCGTTAACCCTTATTACATTCTTGGCAGGACTAGACTTCCTGTCTCAGCAACTTCTCTGGAGTGTTTTTCCCCTCCTTTGCTGGTACTTTGCTTGTGTGGAGTGACCATTCAAAGTTACAATGGCACTGAAAAAAGTGACCATTTTTCACACTTATAACTGTTGCAGCATCCCCACAGTCATGAGAGGCCAGGCGAGAAGATGCGTGCCTCGATGTGAGTGATATTAAGTTGGCCACGCCCAGCCAATAACATGACCACCAAGCCTCACTCACCAACTTAGCCATGCCCACAGAACCGGTTGTTAAAAAATTTGAATCCCACCCCTGCTTAGTATATATTCTGTTTCTTACTTTCTCTGTGGCAGTCATGGGGGGAAGGGTTTCGGGCTCGCCACATTCCTAAGTGGGGAGGAGTGGAGATAGAGTGTTTTGGCTAGGTGATTCTTCTTCCCGTGGGAAAAAGCAAAAATGACCTGTCCGTGCTTAGGCCCCTTGAGGGGGAGATTTATGACATCAAGCAACTTCTATCGGAGAATGTGACTTTGGGGGGTTGTTTCTAACTTGTAATATTGTGGGGTAATTCCGGGTTGTGTCAGATCTGGAATTACCATGGGCTTTGCCAATTTGATGCTTTCCTAAATAAAATAATTTGTTTTGGAAGATGGACTTTCGGTTTTTCTTTTAAAATGGATTTCATCACTGATTTCAACCTGGTGGTGATTCCCTTTTGTGATCTGACAAGCAAAGTCAATGGAGAAGCCAGATTCCCTTAACCAATCTTGTTACTAAGTTAACAACTTCAGTGATTCACTTAACCGCTGTGGTAAGAAAGGTCGTAAAATAGGACAAAATTCCCTTAACCAATGTCTTAACCACAGAACTTTTGGGCTCAATTGTGGTCGTAGCTCAAGGACTACCTATATAATATGCAAATGTACAGTTTTTGCATGGTTTGCTTAATTATTTCCGATAAAGAAGAGAATGGCCACTAATCACTTTCTCCCAACTAGTTTTTGAGATCTTGCCAATCTCTGCTATGCATGCTCAGGACCCGGCTTTGTGGTCTTAAGGGCTAGAAACCTGCTTTTAAAACAAACCAGGCTATAAGAACTGGCAAATTTCTTAGGCTTCTGCAGTTTGCCAGTCAACACCAAGAAGGTTCACCTTGCCTGTGCCTCCCCTGTGCATTGCATCTATTCTAGAGCAGCCTTTTTTCAATCCTTTGAGGATTCACGTGTTTGCCAGAAAATGGCTTTTCTTGCTGCAGGACTATTGAAAAGGGTGCTTTATTTTCTTGTGTCGTCATCTTTAATTCTCTCTTTTTTTTAAAAAAAATTATTATCCAGGACTATAGGCTCTGAAAGTTGGGAGTGGCTGGAGCCAAACATAAATTTTCCTATTTCTCTGTCTGGGATCTCATCAATCTTCATTCATTCAGACAAATACAGTCTTTTGCGTGTGTACAGTTCACTGTGCTTCTTCCCCTCCCAAAGGTACAGGATGTATCACTGGGCTCAAATACAACATGCAATCTTGTCCTGGGGAGTTTTCTAATATGTGCAAAGACTTAATGTGAGATTAATTGTACATGAAAATATGATGCTAAACAGAGGGTTCACCTTACTCCCATCACATACCGTATTTTTCTCTTTGTGCCAGTGCCTTTCTCTCTCATCTCCTCACCTTTTTATCATTCTCCCTATCCCTCATCTTGCTTTCTGCTCCATCTGCCTTCTCTCTCTCTCTCTCTCTCTCTCTCTCTCTCTCTCTCTCTCTCTCTCACTCACTCACTCACTCACTCATTCACTCACCAGTCATCTATCTCTTCCCTATCCCCTTTTGCTGGAATAATTTGTAAACATTTTTTTAAAATTAACTAAATGCAAAAATGAAAATATGCAAAATGATCAAACAAGGTGAAAGAAAGAAAGAAAACCTCAAGCTGCATAAAATCAAGTTGAGAGCGGAAGAAAGGATACTTGTGGTAAATTTGCAAGATAAAGCCACAAATCAGATGGATAGTAGAATGGGTCCTTGGTGCTCTCTTGAGCTTGGTAAAATCAGTGGTGGATCATCAGTGGTGATGATCATCAGTGGTGATGATCTTACCTAGTTTGGGTAATTAAACATCTGCATGAAGATCAGTGAACACAAAGGATTCCTCATTTCAACCCTGAGCTACAAATTGGATAGTAGTGTGTGGTATAGAGTAGATTAATCTTACCAAAGAGGTCAGGTTTCCTGGAATTCACAGGCATCTAAGACAAAGGACAGAAAGAAATGGTTACTACAGTATTACACAGAAGCGTTCCTTCCTTCCTTCCTCCTTCCTTCCTTCCTTCCTTCCTTCCTTCCTTCCTTCCTTCCTTCCTTCCTTCCTCCCTCCCTCCCTCCCTCCCTCCCTCCCTCCCTGATAGTTGTGATTCTAAACTTTGGAATCCAGAAGTGTATTTGGAGTAATGAAGTTAAAAAAATTGTCACAAGAGATCAAAACTGTCCATAGTATGCCAAGCTTTTACATATGTATCTCGTTACACACCATGAGTAACTCCTCTTTAACAAATGATAACTACTTCTGGGATTTAGTCTTTGGGGCCAAAGGATGGAATTTAAGGTGGTGCTAAACCATCTGTGCAGAATTGGAGGAAAGCATTATGGCTTCAGATGTGGAAAATATCTTCATGGTAAAAAATGAACAACTGCCCTTACTGTATTACATGAGATCAAAAATACGTTTTCAATGCATTGTAAGATTCCTTGTTGTTTTTGGCACAACCATGAGGAGTTGGGGTTATTGTTTTCAGAAGGAGTCAAAGCCACCATCAACACCTGGATCCAAAGGTGGTATTCAGGAGGTCCTGACCAGTTCTGGAGAACCGGTAGTGGAAATTTTGAGTAGTTCGGAGAACTGGCAAATCCCACCTCTGATTGGCCCCGCCCCCATCTATTCTCTGCCTCCCGAGTCCCAGCTGATTGGCTGGGTCTTCTTTGGTTGCCCTGCACAGGAGAACAGAGCTGGAAACCAGGTTAGTGGGGCGGGGAGGGAATGAGGATTTTACAGTATCCTTCCCCTGCCAAGCCATGCCCACAGAACTGGTAGTAAAAAAAATTGAATCCCATCACTGTGGCTGGATCTTTTTAGCATCCTGACCAGGCCAGTCACAGATGGGAACCTTTGAACACCTTATATCTTCTGCCTACCCTTTACACATCGTGCTGAATCTACCATTTTAATTCCCCTGAATACGTCCAAGGTAACACGATTTGGATTATTGTGGGCCCTCAAAATGGTGCTCTTGTTCTATTAGGGAAGACCCCCTGAAATTAGCCAATTTGGGAAGTGGTCCGAGAACAGGGGTGTCAAACTCAAGGCCCACAGGCTGTATCCGGCCCTCAGGGTGCTTAAATTTGGCCCACAGGTCCAGCCTGGAAATAGCAAAGGACTGGCCCACGGTGCCTCTGGCAGCCAAAATCTGGCCTGGGTGGCGTGTGTGGCCCCCCTGTGCCCCGTTTTCAGCCTGGATGGCCTCCTGCAGCACCGATGGCCAAAATGGAGCGCAGGGGCCCCCTGCATCCTGTTTTGGCTGGCAGGTTGCTTCAGGAGGCTTCCGTCCCATCTCTCTCTCTCTCCCTCCCTCTCTCTCCCCCCTTCTCTCTCTCTCTCTCCCACCCCCTCCTGGCCAGCCCGCGGAGAAGTACAATGCTGATCTGGCCCTCCAGATCAGTTTGACACTCCTGTCCTAGAAGATCAGTTAGATTAACTTAGAAAAGGACGACACAATCATCATTGTTGGAAAGAGGGAAAGCACTTGCCCTGAGAACATGAAATGATTGTCTTCCAGCACAAGCAAGTACTTCTAATGATGGGGAAGCAGGTACACACCTTAAAATCTTGAAATGGCACTCTTGCAAAATGGCTGCCTTGGTGGATAAAATATAGCCAGTAACAAATCAGACATTTAATCGAAATCCTCTAACTCCCCCAAGATGCTAAGCTTGAGAAATTCTTCTCCAAAGAGTCAGAAGAAGCGAAGCACAGCCAGGTCGACAATAAGTGATGGGATACAAAAGAAAAGAAATAGCAGGATGTCTACGCTGTCGAGCAGGGGGTTGGGCTAGAAGACCTCCAAGGTCTCTTCCAACTCTATTGTTTTATATTCTATGCTTCCTTAGGTCCCATCTTATTTTTCTCTCTTTCACATGGAAGTCTCGGCTTCAGTTCCCTCTCCATTGTAGACTTTTTGTAGGATCTATGTGAGTCCTACCACCACTATTGTGAATGAAGATAATGCTAGAGATTGGCACCGGTCCCTATGGCAGTTTCTTTCCTGCAAGTGCCAGGACTGGTTCCACTGGTTGCAACTGGAATTGATCAGACAGCTTGTTGCCCAAGACTAGCATCATAGGCTGAAGGAGAGGGACTGGCCAAAAGCCACCCAGCCAGCTTTCATGACTAAGATAGAACTAGAATTCTCAATCTCCTGGTTTCTAGCCTGATATTTTAACCGGCTAGACCAGGGGTCGGCAACCTCAAACACTCAAAGAGCCACAAAGGTCCTAACCGGAAGCCCCCATTCAATTCTGAAGCCAACTGGAAGTCCGGTTCCCCTACCATAGAGTCTCCTCCTAGCGCGCCATCTTTTTTCCTCTACTTGCCCTACCTGAAAGCCCTATCAATTGTGGAGCCGACCGGCAACAGGGAGCCACAGCAGAGGGATGAAAGAGCCACATGTGGCTCCAGAGCCACGGAGTGCTGATCCCTGGTCTAGACCAAACTCACTCTCCTTAAGTTGAACTTTTATTTTCATTAAATTGATGCCAAGTCAGGGAACCTTCTGGGAGTCAAAGGAATTGTGTTACCGTGTTGCCGTCTGCCAGGATACAGTGCTAATGCTTGCAGTGAACAAGCTGCTAGTCCATAGAGAGGCTCTTATCTACCTTGAGCTCTGGGTATAAGGAGGAATTCGTTCATATCAAGGCAGGAAGCTTTGTTCCAGAAATCAGCGAGGCAGTGTTCTTCCGGATGGAGGATCCGGGCTGGAGAGAGAAGGAAAAAGCAATTCAAGATCAAGAAGGAATCTGGATTGGGAAATCTATTTTCTCAGCAAAAATGAGAATTGTGGTGAATATCTCTGGTTGGAAGTACATCACGAGGCTGGAGAGGGCTGCCCTGCCTTAATTCTTAAGAGAAAAAATATATACTGGATTTAGGGATCAGAGCAAAAGGATCTTACTTACAGTAGAAAAGGATCCTTTGATAATCTTGATCTGTCTCCTGGACAATGATGGTGTTGGGACACTTGGCGGAGAACAATTCTGTCCTCATGTGAGGCCGGCCTGTTGCAGGAAATCCAGAGGTTAAAAAAAGAGAAAGAGAAAGAAGGTGGTCATACATATTCAGGGAGAACAACACTGCACATCGAAGCACTTGACTTGTGTGCCTTCAGTAGATGAGTGAGGGAATCGCCCCTCTCAATGTTTTTTTCATATAAAAACACATCCCTGCAGGTAGAAAGCTAGTCTTATCAGGGGACTGGAGACTAAAACATATGAAGAATGGTCACAGGAACTGGGCCTGGCTAGTCTAGTAAAGAAACGGACCAGGGGAGACATGGTAGCAGTCTTCCAATATTTGAGGGGCTGCCACAGAGAGGAAGGGATCAAGCTGTTTTCTAAAGCACCCGAAGGCCAGACAAGGAATAATGGATGGAAACTGAACAAGGAGAGATTCAACCTGGAAATAAGGAGAAACTTTCTGACAGGGAGACCAATCAACCAATGGAACAGCTTGCCCTAAGAAGTTGTGGGAGTGCCATCACTTGAGACCTTCAACAAGAGATTGGGCTCCCATCTGTCAGAAATGGTGTAGGATCTCCTGCTTGGGCCGGGGGTTGGACTAGATGACCTACAAGGTCCCTTCCAACTCTGATTATCTGAAAAAAGGGCATGCTCTTATGATCTATGGAATTCACATATAAACAGTATCAACTACCGAAGGAGAATCTATAAGGAAATGCAGAGATGAATTCAAGTATGCATTAATATCCAGAAGCTCAAATCCAGTTCGTTGTTTAACAAAGCTGATGGAGAAAACAGAAGAATACAGTTCAGGTCGTCCTCGACTTAACAACAGTTCATTTAGTGACTGACTGAAGTTACAACAGCACTGAAAAAAGTGACTTATGACCGCAATTCACACTTACGACCGTTGCAGCATCCCCATGGTCACGTGATCAAAATTCATATGCTTGGCAAATGACTCGTATTTATGACAGTTGCAGTGTCCAGAGATTATGTGATCCTCTTTTGTGACCTTCTGGCAAGCAAAGTCAATGGCTTAACAACTGTGTCAAAGCTTAACAACTTAAGCTGTTACTAACTTAACATCTAGAGCGATTCATTTAACAACTGGGGCACGAAGGTCGTAAAATGCGTCAAAACTCACTGAACAATTGTCTCACTTAGCAGCAGTCATTTTTGGGGTCAATTGTGGTCGTAAGTCGAGGACTACCTTGTACATAAATCTGACGTGTGTAAAATGATTTATTTGGGAAAATGTTTGGATTAAAAAATTGCAATAGTGATAAAGTCAAAAAAGGGAATATTATTCATATTTTAATACAGAAAATTTTGAAAATGGAGAGAAGATGAAACGAGATTTTTTTTCCTTCTGGGTATAATGGAGAAAGACCTGGAGAAAAAAAATAGAAATTTGTTACTATATATGTTGACAGCAGCAAGACGCACAAAATGGAAGGACACTTTGATTCCTAACATGGACGAACGGTTGATGAAGTTGATGAAGTTGGCTAAAACGGCAAAATTGACTATTTTGATTAAAAAAAAGAATATAAGTACTTTTATTTCCACATGGAGTTTCTGGACTTTGTGCTTGAAGTGGGAAACTTTGATTTTGGCTTTTACTGATTAGATCGATAGATCTTTACAGAAATGGCTGGTTCATATTATTATGAAAAAGTAAAAAGTCGTGATTTGATATTAATGCCTTATTTTACTGCAACAGAGTCGGAAGTCAATATTTCTTTTTCTTTTTTTCTTATCTTCCCTCACTTCTCTTTCCCCCTCTTTCTCCCCAGTGCTTTCTTATTTACTTTCATATTTTGTATCTTATTTTATTTTATAATCCAATAAAAATGTTAAACTTTAAAAAAAAACTGCAACAGCTGTGAGCAAGTAGTATTATACCTTTTTACTCTTCCAGAATAATATCAATGAGGTAAAAATAAGTATGAATGACATTACTTGGCCAATTAAATTGCTATCTTTTCATTCAAAATTTATTTAGGTTGATGCAGGAGTGATAGTTCAGCCATATATATTGGACTAACAGATGCAGTACCCCATTTTTATAACCTTGGTTGGTTTTCTGGCTTAAAGACATGCATCAAAATGAATCCATAGCTTTGTTATGTTTAAATTAGGCTCCTTTAACAACTATAACAACAGGTTTTCCCAGAAGCTGGAAAAGATTCAGCCTAAGGCGAGGTTCTGTAAGTGCAACTCTGCAGAAATACAAATATTTTTTTTAAAAAATTATATGGTTACCCACAGCTGTTAATACATAGGTGCAGAATAGCTTATAATGCAAACAGCCTGCAGACATTCTGCCTTCAAACACTTGTCAAATCCTTTACTGCTGCAACAGAGATTTTAAAATAAGGTAGGATGGAAAGTGGACATTTTTTCACTGAGCAAATAAGGAAGTTATAAAAATGCAGGGAGCCCTCAACTTATAACCTGTTTCTTATCAATCATTCAAAATTACGACGGACACCTCCCCAAAAGGTACTTATGACCCGAACTTGAAGTTCTGACAACTGGGCCCTCCCACCCCAGCCCCGTGACTATATTTTTGGGGGCCTGACAAACAGCCTGTATTTTAAACGGCACCATCCACAGACTCAGGGCCACAATTTACAATATTTCTGCGCTTCAAACAATGCCCCACAGCAAACAATGGGTTTGTAAGATCCAAAATGTATTCAAATCATCAAAGTGCCAAAGAGAGACTTAAAAGCAGAGGTTTGGAAAAAGTTAACAGCTTTTATTTCGCAAAAGAACATATCTGGGTGGACAGTTCCACAGCATACAGGCAGCAACACATGCAAGGAACAGCCACACTTGGAAAGCGGATGGTGAATTCCTTACACATTCACATAGCCAATTAGAGCCAATTAGGGTGTCCTCAAAAATATTTCTCTGGTCTTTTAGAGTTGCCAGCAGAAAGGGAGTGGGAGAAGTAGTGCATTCCTTAAATGGTTCATAGATAATTTCTAGGCGACTGAAGCTTCTGGCATCCAAGATTATTTCTGGAGAGCATGATTGATGACTCTTGGCTATGGATGTGTCCCATTGGAGAATATACATCCGGGTGTGGGGGAAGACCAGGGTCAAGGTGAAATGAATGATGTGTCTCAGAGTCGGCTACACCGATGTAGCACCGGCATGTTCACTCCTAATAAATCTTCTTTAAACTCTGAGAGATATGGCTCATGATTTAAATGGGGGTGGATGCTGGAGCCCTGATATAAGGTTTGGTACCCAATCCTGGCCCCCTGGCCCACGCCTTCCTTGTCCGTATTCTCCTCATCAATTCATCCCTGGGTATGTCCGTTTTCTCCTCATTCACTCATCCCTGGGTAGCTCTTTGTTCTACCCTCCTTATCTGCTACTGGCCCCAGTGCAGCAAGGAAGAGAGGGGTTGGGTGCTTAGCAACAGAAGTCTAAGTGTAGTCAGAGTTCCGCCATATTTTCCCGATGTCTGAATCCTGACAAGCAATGACCTACACAGCCTCTTGCTTGAGACATGCACCAGGCACTGGGTTGTACAGAAAAATAAGATAGCAGATTAATAGCAGAAGCATTTCTTACAAAAGCAAAATAGCAAAGGTTAAACTAATTCTTATTGCTGTGTCCCTTCAGGTTTACTTAATGACCATGACCTTTGCTTAACAATCACTGCACACACGCACACACACACAAACACACAAAACTGGTAAAAAAGGCATGGTGATGTTAGGAACTATTTAACAACCGTCATGCCCGCTCAATTACCTTCATAAATCGAGGATTGCCCTGTACTAGATTAAATGAAATTGTAAGTGAGCCCTCCAATTCCCACAGATGCCAGTGGGAAATATTAGTGCAGATACACTTATCTGATCGATTTCAGTAAGAAATCAATTGATATCTTTGCCAAAGCCATGAATTCCTATTTACCTTGCCACGCAGTTATTCATGCATCTATGTTTCAGAATCTTAATCTGGCTACACCACATATATTGCTTTTCAGATTGGCTTTGAAGGTAACATTATCAGCAAAGCTGTCTCGCCTCACAATCAGAGGGCTGTGAGTTCGATCCTAGGTAGAGGCAGATATTTCTCTCTCTGGGCACAATGAGTAAATATCAGCTGTGAACTCTGCATTGGTGACAGGAAGGGCATCTGGCCAGCAAACACTCAGCTTCATTCAGTTGCCCCGACTCCACTCCGATCCAAGGGATTATCGGGTGTGCTTTTAAAGTTGTAGCAACGTTTCGGCAGAATCTCATCTGCCATCATCAGGCTTCTATATTGTGTTCGTCTGTGAGTGAGACTTTCACAGCTGTTTCAGTTTTAAATTTGGGGCTAGCCTACACTGTGCCAGAATGGTTTTTTCTTCATCCTGATTGGTTGGGAGTCTTGGTCTGTGTTTATTGGTCTTGGAGTTTGCTGTGTTCTGCTTGATTGGTGTTTTTCTAATATCTTCTGTTTTGTGGCTTTTTTTGTGTCTAGATTGGCTGGCAACATTGTGTTCCTGTATTGGAGGCTTTTAGTGCAGCTTGGCTCCGAGTAAATGGACGGCCATCATTTGTTAGGAAGCTAGGTTTCATCTGGGTGCCTGGTTGGGGTGTGTTTGAGCTGGAGGTATCAGGGGGGATCTGTTTGTGCCCAGGTGTTTGCCTGGCTAGTGGCGTGGAGATTTTTTTGTTTGTGAGTGCAGGCTTCCAAATAATTGACAGTCTGGTGGAATCATCTCTTCTATTCATGCTTTCAGGTCTTTTTTCAATCTCTATGGCTTCTCTGATAATTCTGTGGCTGGGGTTTTCTATAGTGGCTAGGGTTTGGGTGCCATTGAAGTTGATGCTATGACCTGTGGCTTTCATGTGTTGGACTAGTGAGGAAGTGTGTTCCAGCTTTTTTACTGCATTTTTGTGTTCATCCAGGCGGGTACTAATTCTTCTATTGGTCTGACCGAGCCAGATCATGGCAGATGAGATTCTGCCGAAACGTTGCTACAACTTTAAAAGCACAACTATAATGACGTGGGAAAATACCCGAACAAAGCTGAATACCATACATGTAAGTACCTGCGAAAACTTAAGAAAACATATATATGTATATGTATATGTATATGTATATGTATATGTATATGTATATGTATATGTATGTGTGTGTGTGTGTGTGTGTGTGTTTTCATAGATTTTCACGGGTACAGGTATGTAGGTCTAGGTGTGTTTGGGTCTTTTCCCATGTAAGATTAATCTTACACGGGAAAAGACCCGAACACACCTAGACCTACATATATATTTGGGGTTCCTTGCATATATATATGTATATATGTGTATGTATGTATATATGTATATATATAAACCTGGAGCCTTACCTTCGGTAGCCAGATCAGCACTTTTTTCTTCAAGCAAATAATTCCACGATTTGGGAACACATTGGCCTGTTTTCCTAGGAAGAACAGAGACAGGGAAAAAATACGGGTGAGTTATAAATGGTGGGAGGAGGACAGACAAGTTTCAAATGTGATTGAAAAAAATCACTGCGACTTGAGAAAGCTGGGGGAAGAAACTCACACATAAAATGCATTTCTTTTTTTAAATGACTCCTGGATTTCTTTAAAAGTCAGTTGTTTAGTTTAGTTTACTTTACTTTATTGTCATTGCACCTCGTAAGACAAAATCAAACACCATCTTCAGTGCACAACATGACCATGAAAATAAACACAAACGCTCATCCTTCACATTCCACACATTGAACCAAAAACCCGCATCACCGCACCAACACTGCACTATACAGTAGAATTCAAAAGAGCTACCGCCCTGGGATTGTTGTAGGAGAGGGTGCATCTGAGGTTGTGGCAAAGCAAAATGTGTGTGATGGTGATAGGAAATGCAAGATGAAATTCTAAACTTGACTTTTAAGAATGACAGGATGGAGATTTGGATATACAGGTAGTCCTTGATTTACAACAGTTCATTTAGTGACCGTTTGAAGTTACAACATCACTGAAAAAAAAGTGACCGACGACCATTTTTCACATTTGTGACCATTGCGGCATCCGCAGTGTCCCAGGTCCCCTTTTGCGACCTTCTGACAAGCAAAGTCAATGGGGGAAGCCAGATTTACTTAACGTCTGTACTACAGTAAAGTGATTAACTTAACAATGGTGGCAAGAAAGATCGTAAAACGGGACAAAGTCACTTAACAAATGTCTCTCTTAGCAACATAAATTTTGGGCTCAGTTGTGGTCATAATTTGAGAACTACCTATATATGGCAATGTCTGTAAAAATACAATAGGTACTGGGTAAATATACAGGATATTGTATGTCATATATATATATATTGTCATATATATATATATATTGTCAAATATATATATATTTGTTTTCTTAAGTTTTCACGGGTACTTACATGTATGGTATTCAGCTTTGTTCAGGTATTTTCCCACGTCATTATAGTTGTGCTTTTAAAGTTGTAGCAACGTTTCGGCAGAATCTCATCTGCCATCATCAGGCTTCTGTATTGTGTTCGTCTGTGAGTCAGACTTTCACAGCCGTTTCAGTTTTAAATTTGGGGCAAGCCTACTGCTGTGCCAGAATGGTGTTTTCTTCATCCTGATTGGTTGGGAATCTTTGTCTGTGTTTATTGGTCTTGGAGTTTGCTGTGTTCTGCTTGATTGGTGTTTCTAATATCTTCTGTTTTGTGGCTTTTTTTGTCTTGATTGGCTGGCAACATTGTGTTCCTGTATTGGAGGTTTTTAGTGCGGCTTGGCTCTGAGTAAATGGACGGCTATCATTTATTAGGAAGCTAGGTTTCATCTGGGGGGCTGGCAGGGGTGTGTTTGGGCTGGAGATATCAGGGGGGCAGTCTGTTTGTGCCCAGGTGTTTGTTTGGCTTGTGGTGTGGAGATTTTTTTTGTTTGAGAGTGCAGGCTTCCAGATAATTGACAGTCTGGTGGAGTCATCTCTTCTATTCATGCTTTCATGTCTTTTTTCAATCTCTATGGCTTCCCTGATAATTCTGTAGCTGGGGATTTCTATAGTGGCTAGGGTTTTGGTGCCATTGAAGTCGATGCTATGACCTGTGGCTTCCATGTGTTGGACTAGTGAAGAAGTGTGTTCCAGCTTTTTTACTGCATTTTTGTGTTCATCCAGGCAGGTACTTATTCTTCTATTGGTCTGTCCAATGTATGTGGCCGGGCATGATGCACAGGGGACTTCGTATATGCCTTGGTTTTCCAGGTCAATTTTATCTTTGGGGTTTCTAAGGATGGCTGCTATTTTTCTGTTTTGAAGGCAGTCTTGATGTGATGCCTGTGTAGTATCTTACTGATTTTGTCTGTAGTACCTCTTATGTAGGGCAGGACAGCTGTTCCACAGGTCTGTTCATCTTCTAGGTCTCCATTATGTCTCAGTGTGTTTTTGTGGATCAAGCTGGTGATTTTGCTTTTGTGGTAGCCGTTGGCTGTCAGTACTTTAGTCAGGGTGCATAGTTCAGTCTATGTGTGTCTTGTCTGCCAGGCGTTTGGTTCTAGCATTAGTGTTTTGGAGTTTATCTGTGCTGGGTGGTGTGGGATAGGGCATTGAGGTAGCGGTTGGTGTGTGTTTTCTTCTGGTATACGGTGTGTCCTAGTGTGCCATCTGTTTTTTCGTAGATTAGTACATCTAGGAATGGTAGTTGTTTGTTTGTTTCCTTTTCCATGGTGAACTTGATTTTGGGGTGTACGCTGTTTAGGTGTGTTAGGAAATTGTTTAGGTTTTCTTTTCCTTGGGGCCAAATCATGAATGTGTCATCGATGTATCTTAACCATAGTTTGGGTTTGTGGGTGGCATTAGCCAGGGCTCTGGATTCAAATTCTTCCATGAACAGGTTTGCAATGACGGGTGACAGTGGTGATCCCATGGGAGCTCCTTCTATTTGCTTGTATCTTTGTCCTTTGTATATGAAATAAGTGTTGGTTAAGCAGTGTTCTGTTAGTTCCATGAGATGTTTAGCTGGTTGGTATTTATTTTTGATGGTTTCAAGGGTTTCTTTTATCGGGACTTGAGTGAATAGTGAAACCACGTCGAAACTTACAAGCAGATCTTCTTGCTCCATGTGTAGATCTTTGATCATTTCCAAGAAGTGGTATGAGTTTTGTACATGTGAAGCTGCTGTTTCAGCATGGGGCTGTAGCTGTTTTGCTAAGTGTTTTGCTAGGTTTTGTAGTGGTGCTCCTCTGGAGCTGACTATGGGTCTGAGAGGTATGCTTTCTTTGTGTATTTTTGGGAGGCCGTATAGTTTGGGGCATTTGGAAGATTTTTCTCTTGGGATGATCGTCTGTTGGATCTCTTTGCTCATGTGGCTGGTTATAATTTTCTTCTTGGTTAATTTTTCCAGATATGTGGTTGGGTCTGTGTTTATGGGTTTGTATGTGGAGTCTTGGAGTAGGTCTGTCAATTTTGTTTCGTAGTCTTTTCTATCCATTACCACTGTGGCATTCCCTTTGTCTGATGGAAGTGTGATTATGCTGCTATCTTTTTTTAGGGCTTGCAGCGCTTTTAGTTCTTCTTTCTGCAATTTGCTTTTGGGTGGTTTGCTTGTGCATAGGATGTTAGTAACTTGGTGTCTTATTCTATCAGCTTCATCTGTATTTAATTTAGTTAGGCTGGATTCTACTGCACATATGATGGATTCTGTGGGGATTTTTTTGGGTGCTATAGCATAATTGAATCCTTTGGTTAGGACATCTGTTTCTGTTTTGGTGAGTTCTCTGTTGGAAACGTTATATACTAATTGTTTCAGGTGTTGTTGTGCGTTGTTGGGGGCTTTCTTGTCATGTTCTAATTTCTTTAGTTTCTTCAAGAGTTTGTTATTTTTGTAAGTGGTTTCAGTTTCAGCTCTCCAAGTTGTAAGTTGTTTTATCTTGTCCCAAAGTAGAGGATGGATTTTGCTGCTCAATTCCAGGTGTAGTGCTAGCAAATCTTTGTTTAACTGATCCAATTGGAATCTCTTTCTGTGGAGCTCGTTCCTGAGTAGAGCCATTTCAGTTCTTTTCAGGATACGTTTAGTAGTTGCTGTCCTGTGATAAAATGTTAATTTGAAGCAGGTTGGTGTTGCATTGTTGTCTCTGCAGCTGCATAGGAATTTGAGGTCACATAGTATTCCTGCTCTTTTAACTTCCAGCTTCTCATAGGTTTTGGTCTGGCTGTTTATTTCCTCCCCGTAGAGGTCTGATATTTGTTTTCTTAAGTTTTCACGGGTACTTACATGTATGGTATTCAGCTTTGTTTGGGTATTTTCCCACCAAAGAAAAAGCACATTTAATTATACATGTATTAACAGCAGCTAGAATTGTATTTGCTCAAAATTAGAAAAGTGATAAGATATCAATAGAGGGAAAATAATTGAAAAAATATTTGAATGTGCAGAAATGAATAGATTAACATTAGAAATTAAAGAAAAAGAAGAATCTGAATATTACATGGTATGGGATTTGTTTTATAAATGGCTAGAAAATAAAATTAGTTAAAAGGGATTAGACGTAAGCAATAAGAGAAACTAGTGTAATAGATATACTGAATATTACTTATATATATATGGGAATGTGATTATTATTATATGGTTATATTGTTAAGAAGAATATTAGTAGTAATTGTTAAGCACATGCAATATGTACCCAATCGACACATGATTGAAATGGAATGGATTTATTGTATGTTAAAAATAAAAAAAATAATAATTAAAAAAGATGTAGCTGTGAGTTTGGCAAACTGTAATTTCCCAAAAGACCGAGGATAAAATAAGTCACAGAACGCCCGTTGTTTTGAGGAAAAGAGGAACAGCGTGAAAAATAGAACCCCCATTTATATGTCTTATCCATGAGGAAGTTATATTTCACAAATTCTTTTAAGCATTGTTCCAGGCACTCCCAGGTTATTTTATGGCCACCCACCCACTCACGCACTCCCTGTTGAGGCATGTCGATCATGTAAGCTTCCCTTGCTTCCTACCTCAGATAGGTGTGCCTGGAATAGACAAGACACACAGCTTCCGGACAACAGTGAGAAAATAATTGTGGTCTTTCTCACACACACAAATCACTTTCAACCAAACACAGAGACACATCGGGTTTTTAAAATACACGGAGAAGATGTGAACTGAAAGTAGCAGAAAAACTTTACTGGTTAGACAAGATATATTTGCTCTTTCTCACATGCACATACATACTTATGCACACTTGGGTCCTCCTCAACTAGGCTGCCAGGCACTAGCTAGATGGATGGAAGCTGCCAATTTTGGATACAGAATAACAGAGGTGGAAGGGACCTTGAAGATCACCGAGTCCAACCCCCCCACCCAAGCAGGAGACCCTACACCATTTCTGACAGATGGAAATCCGGCCTCTTCTTTGAAAGCTTCCAGGGATGAAGCTCCCACAACTTCTGAAAGCAAAGCTGTTCCATT